CCCTCCCCTCCTGCCAGCTCCCCCTCCCCCTGACACAGACATGGCTCCGGTTCTAGTTCTATGAGAAATACCTGAGTGTCCTTTCTCCCTGTCCCCTCTGGACAGTATCTCAGGTCTGATGTCTGTGTGAGGTGACCGCCCCCTTGCTGCACCATCTGACATCTGTCCATCTTGGGACAGAGAAGCTGGCTGTGTCTGTCTGAGTTAGTGCAGTTTGGTGTCCCCTCTGAACTGGACAGAAGGACATGGTGCCTTGTGGCCAGACCCCTTCCAGGAGTGGGCCTTGGGGTCTGGTAGGGAGCAGGGGTCCCAGTGTGTGGCAGACAGGTAGGAAGATAGCACTGAGCAGGGAGAGTATTACCTTGCGAACAGGTGGACGTGGTGACTAGAAGGGCACCAGATGGACACCAGGCCTGGTGCAGGGGTTTCTGTGGGGACAAAAGTGGCCAGGCTATAAAGGGCCAGAGGCAGCCCTTCCCTTCTGCATCCCCAATTGTGTTTCAGAGCACCCCTCCCTGACCCACCTGTAAGAGAACTTCCTAAAGTTTGTGCCAAACCCAAGTGTCCCGATGGAGCCGGCCCATTTCAGGGGGCTGTGTAGGTTTCCCAACAGGAAGTGTCCACCTTGAGTGGGCAGAGGGAAGGGCAGCTTGAGAAACAGCCTTTGAAGAGGGGACTTTGAGACTACTTCCTTTTCTCTCTCTCCTTTTGCACAGAACTTGAGTTATCCAGCTTTCTCAAATCATTTGGGGAGTTTTCATTGTAAACTCATGTCTCAGTTAGCTTCTTGGTTAGTTTTGTGTGAGGAACGAGTGTTACATGTCTGTATGCACACATGTGAGAGAGGGACCACAACAGTTCCTCCCTCTCCCGTCCCTCTCCAGACAGGAGGAAGTGAAACCACTGCTGAAGACTAAGTTAGAGTTTGTGGCAATAAATGAAACTGATTTTGTAGATAAAGCTCCTTCCCCACCTCCGGCTGATATGACAACCTGAACATCAAACACTGTGCACAAACCACAGGCTGGTTCCTCACTCACAGGGCGCTTGAGGCACCAGGGACACCAGGTGTTCCATTTCACAGATCTTACAAGTCACGGAGTCCTGGTGTGGTGCTGTAGGATTAGCACTTTACTGCTAACTGCAAAGTCAGTGGTTCAAACCTACCAGCTGCTCCTCAGAAACCTTATACAGGGTCGCTATGAATCGGAAACAACTCAATGATACTTAACAAGTCACTGGGTGGTCCAGTTCCTAATACGGCCTCAGTGCCCAATGCCACCCCTGCCTCCACAGCCAGTTCGGGACCCTGGCACCCCACTAACTTTGATTTTCTGCTGAGTTTTGGTGATCTGCTCTATAAAGTTTACAGTCAAGAAAGCCGTAGGGACCGGTTCTCTGTAACACACGGAGGGAGTCGCCAGGAGTTTGGTTGGATTTGTTTGAGTTTTGGTTTTGTTTTTATATTTTGGATATTTGGTGTTGAAGACAGAGCCAGGAGAGATGGGTGGGGAGTACATGGCGACAGCTTTTGAA